TGTGAAAGTGATGATAATGGCAGTATGTCGTCACTAGAAGATATAGATAAAAAAACATGAGTATTTCATGTAGAGAGCATCTATTTGTCATTAAGAGAACCCTTAATATCCAAATAAAGGAAGAAAATAATTAAAGGGAGAACATATTTCATATATGGTGTGTCGTGAATAGAAAAGTGTGCAACACAATTGTTGATGGAGGGAGCTACTAACATAGTCAGCACCACACTTATTAAAAACTTGAGATTGACCTGTACAGAACACCCCAACCCTTATAGGCTACAATGGCTGAACGAATATAGAAAAGTCAAAATAAACAAACAGGTAACAGTATCTTTCACCATAGAAAGGTATCAGGATTAAGTCAAATGTGATGTCGTACTTATGCATTTTAGCCATCTCCTACTTGGATAACTATGGCAATACAATAGATGAGTTACCTATGATAGCTTTAAGAATCGCTACTCTTTTAATTTTAATGGGAGAAGTCACATTCTCATTCCATTCATATCTAAAGAAGTATACAATGCCTACTCAAAGTCAAAAGATCTCTAGAGGGAACTTTAGATCATACAATCAACAAGAAAAAAATATATAAAAGAGGCCAAAAAGAAAAGAGGAATGCCAACTAAGTGAAAAAAAAAGACCAAAAAAGAAATAAAAGCCCCATTGAGTGATAAAGAGGCTAAAAGAAAAAATAAATACCCAATGAGAAAGAAAGAGGCCTAAAAGAAAAAAGAATGCCCAATAAGAGAAAAAAGGAGAAAGAAAAGAAAAGAGTGTCTATTTGCGAGGGAAAGAGAGGTGAGGAATGTCTATTATGAGAAAGTCTAATTATACTTCAGTACAAGAAGACTTATTTAAATTTGACTAACTTTAACCCTTCTTTGTCTAGTGTTGTGTTGTCTCTTTTGCAAGAGTTCGAGAACATGTTCCTAGAGGAGATACCAGATAAGCTACCACCATTATGAGAGATTAAGCATCTAATCAACTTCGTTCTTGATTCCTTAATTCCAAACTAACCAGCCTACTAAAGTAATTTTAAAGAGACAAAGAATCTTCAGAGGCAAGTGGAGGAGTCATTGGAGAAGGGCCATGTTTGTGAAAGTTTGAGTCCCTATGTTACTTTGTTCCTGTTGGTACCAAAAAAAGACATGTCATGGATGATCTGACATATTGTCGGGTTGTGAATAAAATAACGGTAAAGTATAAACATCACATTCCTAAACTTGGCAATAAGTTCGATGACTTGAGTAGAGTAAACATCTTCATTAAAATAGATTTAAAGAGTGGGTACCATCAAATCCGATAAAGCCTGGTGAAGAGTGGAAGATCGCCTTCAAGTTAAATATGGTTTGTATGAGTGGTTAGTTATCCTTTTTGAGTTGACTAATGCTCTTAGTATTTTTATGCCATTGATGAATCATGTTCTATGACTATATCTTGATAAGTTTGTGTTATTTACTTTGACGTCATTGTGATATATAACAAATTGTTGAATG